TCAATTAAAGCAGACACAAAGCGGACAGCCTCAGGCTGACAGACAGTGTCAAGAGCCCATCTCTGTAGGCAACAGTTTCACACAGCTCTCAAGCCATAGGTGCCTCCCGCACAAAGCTGCATCAGGGTACGTCAAGTTTGGCTGGTTACAATGACATTAACCTTCAGTTCAGGCCTAAATAATTTATAGCAAGCTTCACTAAGCACATATAAAGGTGACAAAAACTAGGAAAAGAAATAATTAACTAATGCAAATACTTCTCAATGTACACAAACAATCACACACACACACACACACACACACACAATGTATTAGAAGTATATTTCCACTTTGTCAAGTCATTTGTTCTTGGGGAGTCCCACACTCTTAACTATCAGCACACTACTCTCCAATATCACCTGGGAATAACTCCAGGTTATTAAAGAAAATGTTACACTCTGCATATTAGTTTTCACAATCAAATTTTGCTTAACATAAAAGACTCTGACTACATTACATTACATAATAAAGCATTTTCTTTTTATAACCCTATGGCAGGGTCTGTGATCAGGGGATGCGAATTTGTGAAAAATCATAACTTATATCATTTAAAATAACACTGGCTGTCCTATAAATAGACTGCTACCCAGGATATGGTATTTTCTTTGTCCAGAGTATAATTTCATCTTTACTTAAAATCCTTTAATTTATTGAACATGAGACATTCCACCCAATGCCACAGTACTATGGCACTGAACATTTTATATGACACAGGAGATTTCAAGGGATAACACAATGTACATTTTTCTGTAATAAAAATCATTTAAAAAACATAGTGAATACCTACTGTGTGCCATGTATTGGGCTATATCAAAAACTATCTGGCTTTATTCCTGAGAAATATTTATGCAACAAATAACATATAAAAGGTCAAATTTTCCCCAAATTGGATATAATCAGTAGTAAATCCCCTGGACAACTGTCAGCTTTTCGAAGACTTCTCTCTAGTGCAGAGGGATCTATAAGCAAGACACACCGAGTGAGCTAGGACACTGATTAAATACCATTCTGAAAAGCAGAACAAACAGGAAGAAATGCCCAGTTCTATCAAAACTGTAGCACGGTAACAATTAAATTAAATTAAATCCGTGGCATTTGCCAAATTTCAGCTACATTTCAAACAGATAAAAGCTGAAATGCATATTTTAATAAAACAGAAACATGAGTAAACCACCCGCTTTGTTTTACAGCAGTACTGTGAAATTCCTTCATTCAAAAATTGTGGTTTCCATATTTTGAATATTAGGATTGTCTTCTATTTAAGCTCACATAAAAATGAATATAAATGATAGAGGGAATTCGGTTCTGTTCCAAATGTGTTGCTAATTTTAGTTACAGGTGTATTTTTTCATTACCAGAAAGTTGAGTGGGGGGCAATTTCATTTATATTTACTCACTCTAATCAGCACAAGAATAAACACACAGGCTTGAAGGCCAATCCCAATTTCCTCTCCATCACAACCAATACATTCATATATCACTTTAGTACACCAAACTCCAAAGTTACATAGAGAATATAGTACACATTTATAGATATGAGAGAGGGAGACATAACGTCCACCCATGACCATGACTTGAGTTTTGTGCCTTGGGTTGTAACTACAATACAACCTAGCACCTTATCAATGGCTCTTTTATCTTCCCACCCCTAATTGTCAGCGGGATCTATTTCAAGTTCAATATTATATATCTAATACCATAAGCTGTACATATTCATGTAACTTGTTGGTTACATGAAGAAATAATTAATTTCTGACATTGCAAAGGTTTGTAGCCTTCTTTTCTTGGCTACTGTCATATAAATCTATTTATTGTCTATTGCCTATCTACCTATTGCCACATTCTAGCAGCACTGTTGAAAGGCATATTTCAGAGAGAATCAACAAATGCAAATGAGAAAAATCACTCATAATGTAACCGGATGCTTTATTTCTCCACACAACATATGGTATCTAATATTCAAAAGCCAGGTCTTCAAGTAATATATTTCACATGTTGCATCATATTTTATATGTAATAAATAAATTTTACCTAATATTTATTGAGCAAGTACTATATCCAGGTTTACTAAAAATGTTTTACATACATAATCTCCAATCTAGCATCCAGCCAGAAGATGAGAATATCCTGCTTACAGACGAGAAAACTGGAATCCATAAAAACTAAATTGCACAGGGTTGAATTATTTAACAAATATTTAAAACCCAAATCTTTTATACACAAATACCTGTGTTATTTCTCTTATGCTACAGTGTATTCTGAGTCAACTATATTTACTGATCATCATTGCTGTACAGAATACCACTATCTCAGGTGTTGAGGAGAAGTAGGAAAGGAATTCATAGCAGAGAACATCTATTCTCTACTACAGAAACCTCCGAGTAAGTAATACCAATAAGAATATGGACCACTATTTATAGGAGCTCCTGCAACATAAAATGGAACAGGATAAGTACATACA